GTGTGTGTGTGTGTGTGTGTGTGTGTGTGTGTGTGTGTGTGTGTGTGTAAACCTTTATCTAATTTTCTATGGGGCAAAAAAATTCTTGCCTTGGAACCTGCTATGACTATGATATTCCTGGTTTTAAAGGTATACATGACTGGGAACATTCATAAGGAGTAAACTAAGAATAAAAACTGAGTTTTATGTTTCTCAGCACTGAAATTCTGTATTAAATATCTCTAACTAATGAATGAGTCATTAACTATTGGGGGAATCTTTGTAGGAATGTGGAGGTAAATCCTTAAAATATACTCACTGCCTCAATAACTAAAATAGAATAAGGATACTGCAAATGATAGTGAATATAAGGGACAAAGTAAGTATGGGGAATAAGAACTTGGATTGTGGAAATGGTTTTGGATAAGAACCTTTATTGCAGTCAGAGGTAGAGATGTATAAAACACTGTTTCCTGTACAATTTAGCATGTGATGTAAAGCAAAGAAAATCTTATATAGAGGTATTTCAGGGATGGAGACACAGATACATACAGAGATAAGGAATGGAGTAGGGATAGTAATAATGATGCCATTATTTTTTCTACTGCGTAGTATTCCATTGTGTAAATGAACCACATTTTCCTTATCCATTCTTTGGTCAAGGGACATTTAGATTGTTTCCAGGTTCTGGCTATCACAAAAAACCTGCTATGAACATAGTTGAACACAGGTCCTTGTGGTATGATTAAGCATCCTTTGGATATATACCCAAAAGTGGTATTGCTGGGTTTTGAGGAAGGCTGTTTTCTAATTTTCTGAAAAATTGCCACACTGACATCCAAGAGTTTTTACCAGCTTGCATTCCCACCAGAAATGAAGAAGTGTTCTCTTTTAACCACAACCTTTTCAGCATAAATTGTCATCAGTGTTTTTGATCTTGACCATTCTTACAGGTGTAAGATGCAATCTGACAACTGTTTTGAAATGCATTTCTCTGATAACTAAGGATGTTGAACATTTCCTCAAGTTTCATTCAGCCATTTTAGATTCTTATGTTGAGAGAGTTCTATTTAGGTTTGTATTCCATTTTTTAAATTGGATTATGTGATAATTTGGTGTCCAATTTCTTGAGTTATTTGTATATTTTGGAGATCAGACCT